AAAATAGTCTAATCAGTTATCTATTTTTACCTGTACCAGCCATTATTTTTATCAGGTGGCAACAGAATATGGGCTTTTTACAGAAGATATGCTATTCATTATTAATTACTGTTAAGTTTAATAACATTTGATTATGCAATTTCAAAGGGAAATATTTAAGACGGACAATGGAAAAAAGTTATGACAATGGCGAACGCTCAGTGTCTGTATAACCTCAGTAAGCTCTTAAGAGCCAGGTGAAATTAAAGGAAAGATCTTTGAATCATAATCAGAAAGATTTGTTTTACATTTTGTCATTTTGTCATTTTCCACGATATGAGAATGGATACTTAAGACTACTGTGACGATATTGACCACTTAGCCCCTTGTTGTAAACCTAAATATATGCCTGAGAAAACAGCCTTAGTACTTATTTTAAATGATTTAAAGTTTCCTGAACACACAAACATATCTATGATGTTTTAAGTCAGGACAGGAGACAACGTGGCTGATGTTTAACTGAAATACACATAGGTTCAGACATTCTAATTGAAAGAAAGAACTACATTTTAGTTTAAAAATTTCGGAATTTTTTCACAAGGGACCAAAACATTGATGATTGCTAGGCAGTTTCCAACTATATGAAAATGAATACTGAAATCTTTGATAACGATATTGACCCCTAACCTTCCAATAAGCATCTATATAACAGTTCATATTAGTCTGAACCCAAATATGTATGGTTGCTAGGTACTTTTATATCAAGTAAGGGTCGTTGCTAAGAACTTTTGACATGACCTTGACCTCTGGCATTTAACCTTGTTACCAAATAAAATCAATAATCATTCTGAACATTTTTTTTCTATTCAAGGTATGGGTATATTTGTAACCATTTCTGACAAAATATAATAAAAAAGAATCAAGGTCAAAGGTCAAGGTCATCAGTAACCTTATATCTTTTGATCAAACTTAAGGTTTTTTCAATTTATTTTTAACCTTAATCTGTCATAGTTTATGAGATATTTTAATAACAAGGTCAAAATTATTTTACAAAATAACAAAAATTTCACTTTTAGGTTCCCTTAGCAACCACCCTAGCAACATGAATCCCAAACCTTTAGTTATAAATAAAACTAGGCAACAGTGTTGGTACACATTGATAACTTCAATGTTAATGGGTGTGGATACAAAAGTTTGTAATTAGTTCATGCAAAATGCTTTTAATTTGCCTTCTTGGATACAATGAAAACTCCCTTATTTTAATCAGTGTTGCAACCGTCTCCCCTTTTCATTAGAATTATGTTTTATCTTTTATCTAACTAATTTAATGTTATATTTTAAGGCCACGCCAAATTATTACCTCGTTCGTCGGAATACCCGCGTGTTGTGAAAGGTGGACCAGAAAAAGGTACTTTTTTTTAAACCCCGTCCGTCTCTAAATTTATGAAACAAAACTTTTAATCAGTTGTGCGTTTGAAAGTAACATCATACAGACACGGAAATTGACATTAAAAACGATCCAGATCTAACATTCACAACGTTGTTGTTACAATATTATTGCCAAATTTAGTATGATAAGCATTCTTAACGTAAGACATGAGTGGACTATCTTTAGTTACAGTGGTAAAGCAGGAAAACACATCAGTAGAATATGATTTGGGCAATTATTTTACCGATTTGTTGGAAGTGCTCCGTGCAAGACCACAACATGCACAAACGTTCATAACATCAAACTACAATTACGACACAGAATAATATGACAGCAATTTTTAGACCAGCTGCAACTACCATCCCTAAAAGATCGTCGAACCCGAAACAGATAATATCCTCTTCTACAAAGTCAGACACGGTGAAGCCAAACTGAAAAAAAAACATCTAGGACAACCAAGAACATGCATTATGGTCAACATTTCCTGAGACTGCAAACAAAACCAGACAAATTAAAAATCTGCTTCATACCAAACACAATTAAAGATTGGAACCTACTAACACCGGATATTTTCACCAAGATTCAAACAGCAGAAGAACCAGCCAAAACTTTCAGTGATATTGTAAGGGGAGTCCCACTTAAGTGAGTTACTTGACTCACGCGCATTGTAGTAATATCCTTGAATGATTCACCGTATATCTATCAAGATCAAATGACAAAGCAACGACGCCACCGAATTGAAAGATTTAAATTATGACAGTATAACATGCATAAGAATAAAAGAGAATCCCAAAGCTGATAGAACCTGAATTGAAATGGCATCGTAAATGAAACTATTATATTGTTTACTTTTTTTTATCTGTTTTATAATAAACGTTATTCCTTGAATTTTTGTAATCTTTTATTTATATTTGCTAGTATCATTTCAAAGTTATATTAAAATAAATTTGAGAATGGAAATGGGGAATGTGTCAAAGAGACAGCAATCCAACCAAATAGCAGAAAACAGCCCAATGCCACCAATGGGTCTTAAAACAGCAAGAAAATCCCGCACCCAGAGGCAGACTTCCTCTGACCCCTAAACAATTATGTATGCTAGTTAAAAGCATGGAACTTGACAAGAATGTTTATGTGGTAATTGAGTTCAATCCATATTTACAATTTACAAAATATACATGTATATAGCATCTGACTGGTTCATTTGAATGGTATAAATTAGTGTGGTTTTTGAAGGACAGTCCTTTATTAACTGTCAGCTTGTTGTATACACAAATATTTATGGTTGTATATACAAGCTTTATACATGCATTTATGCTTTGCATATGTTCATTTAAAACAACATACTATGCATCAATTATGACTTACATTAAACAAGGATGCATGCCTGTTCAGAGCTGTTGCACTTTTTCATGTTCAGCATGATCATATTTATTTGATCAGACTACACAAAGTTGTAGGTTTTGCTACAAGTTAACCATTCTATACCTGGAAATGTTGTGAAAAGACTGAACTAGGTGTCAGAGAACAAATTGAAAGCAAAGTAGGGTTATATAAGAACTAGGATATGAGATATATGAAATATCAAGCACCAAAACTATGTAATTTGTAATCGCTCGCTTGCTTAAAATTCTTTTCATAGATTTTTAAAAAAAATATTTCAAAAATAATATCGCTCGCTAGTAAGAAAATTATTTCGCCTGCCAAAATTTGCTCTCTCGCTACCCTTTTTCAAAGGAAAGAGTCCAAAGAACTAGATATTAATTTGCTGTTGCCTAATGAACATTGAGTAATGAACCGTGAAAATGAGGTCAAGGTCAAATTAAACCTACCAGACTGACATGTACATCGTAAAATATTTTCATACACCAAATATAGTTGACCTACTGCATACAGTATTAGAAAAACAGACATTGAAATGTGTGCATGATAACTGCCTAAAAATGGCAATTTTGAGCCAAAATCCAAAGGGACCCGTAACCATGGCAACGGGGACATAAAAAAAAATGTTTGTTAATAACTACCAACAAACAAAATTTAAAAAAATTCTGAGACTATGCGTGCCGCAACTTGGTTGGTGGCTACAGAGAATGGCTATTAAGTACACAACACGCATGTCTTAATGCATACATTATTTGATAGAAAGAGGTCAGTACAATCGTAAAAACAAATCAATCTACTATTTCCATTTCATGAATGATTAATAAAATGTATTATATGATTACATTGCAAATTGAAACTAAAGCGGGAAACATCTGTCGTTCAAAAAGTGATGAAAGATTTGTATATAACGTTAGTAACACTATCATGGATTTAGAAATATAATCGAGAATCTAATCAATGTTATATCATTCTTTTGTTTTATCTTACAATAATATAAATAACAATAATACAATTATATACATAATTCAATAATAGATCACATGAAATAGGACATTTGAAGACTTCATCTCAAATTTTGTGTTTGCATGTTTACAGTTGTAGTTTAATTCCAAATTGCATATCTGATTTCAATACAAGAGTCTGCTCTGGAAATATGGATTTTCAATATTTTGATGATTTAACTTCGATATGCAAAATAATGTTAAAAAAGGTATATATATATATATAAAATACCGAACATCAAGGTAAATTCAAAAAGCGAAAATCTCTAAATACTGACAAAATCGAAGTTGGACTTTATCAACCACCGGGGAGGAGTCTTTTGTAGACGAAACGCTGGCGTGCAAAACTTCAATCCTGTCGTTTATGATGAGTTTATTTATACTTTTTTGTTAGATTATTGCACCCTTAATTTGTATTCAAGCACGACTACAGTGTTTCGTTCGTTTTCTTTGTGTATAGGATCGTGTGAATCTACATATAATATATGAAGTACAGAGGTCGGTATTTATTAAAGTGTGAAAATACATAATTGTTTTATTTTTAAGTAGGTAACGTAGTTTTAGGTTACTTTCAGTAATAATAAGCATTTTATCAAGACGTTATAATTGATGTACTTACTACTGTCTATTTCTTAACTGCAGTACGGACATTTTTGAATTAAGTTTTTTTTCTAAGCTTGACTATTACCGTTTGGCAACCGTAATACGTTGATAAAATTGTGGTCATGTACCGTCGTATGCTTGCATGTTCTTTTACAATTATTCTAAACGTAAAGTCAAGAGTCTTTCGTTTAGTTCTTTTTCTTTTCATTTGTTCTTTTCATTGGTACCGCTATCATTTTATAACGTGTCTGATTTTCGTGGTCATTTATTATGTATTATCTTCTTATGTCCAACGTTATAAGAGGTTACTTGAGAACTCAATAAACTATGTTGTCCAGTTCAATTTTTTATGCAATGACTGGGGCTGTTCCGGTTGCTACGGCATCATTGTGTTGTGTTTTTTTTTTTCTAACCTTCGACTGTTACTGTTTACTCGATGGCGTGTCAATTGCATATCTTTTTTACAATATTTTTTCACTCATGATAGTTTATCCATAGCTTCGAATATGAACGAATTGCTTCGGGAATTTCTATATAATCAATGTCTTTATTGATGATTTTTTGCTATTTACGCCATGATATATAACATAAACTCTATATGTGATTCAAACGTTGGAAGCTGGGTATTTAACACCAATTCCAATCTTACAGTCATTATATAATGATGATCCAAATTCATTGATATTGTGTTCAACAGAGATACTATTTAGTAATTAGTTATCAACATGGATTGAAAGTAAGGATACTATGCATATCGTCACCATGTAATCTTTTGGTAAGTTTTTTTTGTACTTGTAAAAATGTATTATTCCTATACTTGCTAGATACAATAAATTACAACAGTAAAGCCGTATTTTCTTTATTCATTTAACGATTGGCTATCAATAATTAAGGATTCGATGCTCACTGTAGAAACTGGTACAAACTTTACCTGTTAGGTGAGAAAAGCCGTTGAAGATAGATTTCCATAACCAGCTGACGGAATGACCGATGTTACTTTGCTAGGAGTTTAGGGAGTAGGATGGTTTTTCTTGTTGTTTTACGATTATTGTTTTTATTTAATAATCAATGATGAAACTTAAAATATCACAGCTTGTTAAATATAGAAGTTCAAATGATGCATTGAAATTGCACTACAATTGGAATCCATAATTATCCTTCTTGCAGGGCATATGTCAAGATCCATATCCCTATAAATATCTTAATTACGAACGAATGTCAAAGTTTTGTTTTTATATGGGGATTAAGTGAAATGTAAAGAATATCCTTTTAACATATAAAACAAGTGAGTCTTTATTTACTAATTCAAAGAGGTTTTAGAAGATTTAAATGTAAGCATATCGTTACATTTGATAAGTAGCCTATAGTTTGAAGTGAAGATTTCCTGTCAGTGAAAACATTGATTTGCATTTACTGGTATAACTAAAACAGACCAATTTAACAGATAGGTTAAAGACAACAGTTCATGCAGATTAAGAATTCCATATGTAAATATTGCTTGTTTTTCTTTTTAACCCAATTTTAAAAAAATTAAAGATAAGTTGAGTTAGAAAAGAACGCAAGACAAGTTATTTATTAAAGGCTTGTCAATATCTATGATTATAATAAATGTATTTTGAAAAGTCCAATAAAAAAGGGTTTTTAAACCCAAGTCCCTGAACTTAGTATACCAATTACAGGAACTATGATAAAATGATACGTATTCCTTTTAGGGACTTTTTTACTTAGCCAATTTATTTGTTCTGGAATAAGGTTATTTAAAGTCTGTTGTTTTTAAACCAAGTGAGAGGGTCTAAATGTGCCATGTAATCATGAATTCCTCAAGAAACAAAATAATAAAGACTGTAACTAATAACAACAAGCATATGCCCTTTCGTTTTAAGAGCGCTTTTTATATAGGACTTAAAACTCATACTTTTGGTAGTGGCTTTGTCCTTTCTTGAGAAGGGCATTTACTCGATAAAAAAGAAAGATTGTGGTTTGATGTCTCAAATATTTCTCAAAATTTACGTTTCGTCTATTTGTAACATTTTGTAGTTGAAACGGTAATAATGTACAACGCAAATCAGCCACGAGATCTTGACCTCTTATCTTGGTCAAGGTTACAAATATAGATTATCACTGACGACACTCAGTCCCATGACTTATAATTTCCTGCATAATGGTTATCCTTGTCATTTATGGAACATATTGTACGGAAAACCGTTTTGATGGAAGGGTCGTAGCCAACAAAGTTGTTGCTTGATGTCTATCATATCATAACTTTTTTCTATTATGGTTTCTTAGTTCTGGGTGACCAATGCCTGATCTTTTGAACATTGTCAAAATTGAATGTCAGAGAGACCAATGATGGATCCCATATGTCACTATAACAAACTGTTTCCGTAATTTTGAAGCTTGGTGGAGTCATCTCTAGGTTTTTTGTATGATTTTCCTAATTGTTTTGATCCAAAATGAAAATATTATCGGTATAATCCATTAACTATTCTACCCTCTGTTTTATCCTTTATCTTTGTTGTTCCTTAGATGTCATATGAAATGAAAGAACAAGTGATTCTGATGGATGGAGTATTAAAAAACCGAGCTCAACTTTAAAAATCGTACATATTGAATCGAACTTTCAATCTTCTCTGTGAAATTACAATTATGTCATAAAACAACAAGAATGACAAATGATGTGGACAATATCGTCTGAAATGTATTTGTCAAAGAATTTTAAATATCAACTCATCAATGGAATTTCATTAACAGTTTCGTTAATGTTTACATATACCATTACGCGTGTGTTTGTGTTGATTTATTTTTGTAATTACATCCGTTTTGTTTAGTCCTGCAGATTTTCTATAGTCGTAGTATCAGTTGATTCAGTTGTCTTCCAGTATTTGCCATACTCCCACGTTCTTAAACAAATTAATACAATGTCAAAGTTTCTGAAGTAAAGCCTGGTGTGTATGTTTCTCAAATTCATTAAGTTTAATTTCCTGAATAATTTTTGTCTTTTCTTGTGATTTATTTATAATATTATTTTTTTTTTTGATATTGTACATCTTTTATTCAAAAAGTAATAACGATACTGTTGTTGTGGAATTATTGCGATTCGTAATTGCTTCAATCTGCACTTTGAGAACTTTTTGACGTACCTTTGTTTTGGAATAAAGACAATGAAAGTTAGTTGTGTAACTGTTAAGTAAAAGGGTTTAAAGATGTCGTGCTATCATGAATCATAATCAAGAAACACAATAATGAAGACCATAACTACTAATGACAAACAGAAATGTGGACTTTTGTTTTAAGAGTTTTAGTCGAATAGGGTTTATAACCTACTTTTGGCAGCGTTTTTATCCCTTCTTGAGGAGGGTAGTCGTATTTCTTCGGGAAAAAAAGAAAGAAAAACCTGTGGTTTGGTGTCTCAAATATTTCTCAAAACTGACTTTTTGTCTATCCGTAACATTTTGTAGTTGAAACAGTAACAATGCATAATGCGAAACTTCCAAGGGCTTATATTGGTAAAAAAAGCAAATATAGGTCACTGCTGACGACATTTATAGTCCCATAACTTATAATATCAATATAATGGCTAACCACGACATTTTTGGAATATATGGTACCAATTACCGTTTTAATGGATGAGTTGTATCCTTCCGGACAAAGACAAAAAGTTGCTGCATAATGTCTATCATATAAATTAACTTTTTATTCTATTATGGTTTCTTTGTTCTGGGTGCCCAATGGCTGATCTTTGAACATTGTCAAAGAAACCAATGAGGAATTTGCTAGGTCACTAGAACTTAGAACTTATTTCCGTATGTTTGAAGCTTGATGGAATCACCTCTCAGATTTCTGTATGGTTTTCCGAATTGTTGTGATCCAAATTGAACATAAAACAGGTATAGTCCATGAAATATTCCATTCCTTCTGTTTTATCCGTAATCTTTGTTGTTCGTAAGATGTAATATGAAATAAATTGACAAATGGATCTGAGTGATCCTGTATAGAAAATCACATTTCTGGATGAATTTACAATAGATTTAGTTGAGTCATAATAATAACAACAATGATAAATGATGGTTTCAAATTGAACATATAGTAAAACAAATTCGTCTGCAATGCATTTTGATAATAAAATATCAATTACATCAATCGAATTTTATTAACAGTTTTGTTAATGTTTATATATATAGTTACACACTTGTTTAATCGTCTTTGTGTTGATTTGTTTTTGTAATTACATCCATTAAGTATTGGTCACAGATTTGTATATCTCGATTTTCATTCGCAGTTTCAGTCGATTCGGTTGTCGTCCAGTATTTGCAACAAGCTATAAAAGGCACCGAAATGACACATATAAAACAATCTAGTGAATACTTGTCTTTTTGGCAAACTTCTTATTTCTATACCGGTATGCATTTCATAAACTAGAGGTACTGTTAGCAAAGCTCACACATTGATATCCACCTCCAAATATAGGAATGGCATAATCTATAATTTGCTTAGAGATACCCACAAAAAAAAATCGGATAAAAAACAAAGAAGGATGTGCAAAGTTGCATTGTATGGTGAACATTCCGAGAAGGTTTCATTAAATTTTAACAAGGTGTTTAAGAGGAAAGAACGTATACAAATTTGTACAGTTTTTTTTTCTTTTTCTTTTTTTTGGGGGGGGGGGGGGGGGGGGTATGACAAACTCCAAGTCATGCCCAAGTAAACCCTTAAAATTATTCCGATAAGGAAATAAACAGGAGTTTCAAAGTACATCAAGTATGTAGATTATGTTATCTTTAAAAATATTTCGCAAGACGGTTCAGAATAGTGGGACAGAAGGATGAACGAATGAACGGACGAACACTTCCATCACTATATACCTCCCGCTTCTGGGATAATTAATAGTTTAGTAATATTATGTATACAGCTCGTAAACTACTATAAATATAATGTTACCAATTTAACATTGCAGTAAAATCTTTGAATGTTATCTTTATCAGTTACTGTACTAACATTGATTTTATTTTTTCATATTTTAAAATGCATAACTTAACATGTATTTCTAGCTATTAAGTAAACACTAGGTCGATACTATGTTTGGCATTGCACAATGTCATGGGCTTTTTCTGGCCACTTATAATGTCCTTATAATCAATCTTTTGGAGGTGTACTAATTTATATTTCAGTCTTTGAAAACATAGTTTATAAATGTTGAAATTGGATTCTGAACAATCTTTCAGAAACAAGGAATATTCTTTGGTCTCGGTATTTGTGTAGTTTTTCATTCTGTTATTTTTTTTAACACAAATAAAATTGAGAATGGAAATGGGGAATGTGTCAAAGAGACAACAACCCGACCATAGAACAGACAACAGCAGAAGGTCACCAACAGGTCTTCAATGCAGCAAGAAATTCCCGCACCCGGAGGCGTCCTTCAGCTGGCCCCTAAACAAATATATATACTAGTTCAGTGATAATGAACGCCATACTAACATGTTTAACCCCGCCACAGAATGTTCCTTTCTTAAGCAAATCTTACTATACAGTATGAATTTTGCTCGTGGTTGAAGGCCCGCCCTAGAGTGTCCTGTATTCGACTACATCCCTGTCCTTCAGTCTTGGTGATACATGTATCATTTGCAGTCATACATTTCACATTTCCTTTTCATAACATAAGCCAAAGTTTGTTTAAATAATCCCAGTAAGGAGAAAAACACAATTTTAAGTGTATTTGAACAGTTAAAAAAAGTATCAATATAAAGTTAGCAAGTAAGAATAGTGTTGTTGTTTTTT